CCGTATCAGGCACCTGTCATCAACTGAACATTGTTTTAGGTACAAAATTGGTATAAATACTTAATTGTAGAAAAGCCTAGCAGTAAAAGAGAGAGAAAACCTGCTCATCTCAGCCCTGTTCCAACACAAACTCCACATGGAAAACTATAATCCAAATTTGCACTCTGGTACTCTGGGCCTAAAAGCCTGTTGGTATTCGAAATCACCTTTTCATTAAGGCCAGCCTGTACCTTCAGAATGTATTTCTGAGAAACTGAGAAAAATCAGAGTTTAAAAGAAAAAGATTCTGGAAAGTGGCACAAAGAGAACAGCTTGAGAGCTCAGAGAAGGTATTTGTCTTGAGCAGCAAAGAACTAGCAATTAGCAGGAACAGCGAGACTGTGATTTGTGAAGGCAAACTATATTTAAACACAGCGGGGTTATTGTGCTTGTATCGCTTAACACTTTCATTTTCACAAAAGATTTAAGTAACAAAATGAAATGTAATCAACAATCAGGGCATAATTGATATTGGGTCTGTATAAACACTCAAATACCCTTTGTCCTCACCCCCTTTCTAGCCCTGGGAGTGCTTCATTCAAACGCAGCTTAAAATTCAACAGGATTCAGACTAAGATTCGCTCAACTAATTGTCATGTTAAAAATTAAAGTGGTGAGTTATGGCCGATTCCAAGAAAATCTCCATCCGTGTGTGATCAATTTCTCAAAAGAATTCAGTTAAAATGCCAAAATGGGTTGAATAAATTATTTGCCCAGCTCTAGGTGAAGCCTGGTTACGGTTGTGTTGGTGTGATGGATGGCTCGCTAACTCACTGACCCTTGTTTTTTTTTCTTTTTGCCAAGAGCATGGGAAACTTGTCTTTTAACAGAGGAGCAACAGTATAACAAGCAATATAATGTCATTTAAAGTATTTAAGTATTAAGTATTAAGTATGAGAGGTATAGGAATGAAGACAGGTGAATTAGGAAGGTAGCTGTCTGCAGGAGAGACAAATCTAGCTGTCCAGCTACCTGCTGACAGCTGCTCAGCAGGTTTTACCTCCTTTAGGTAAAAAAAATGAAGAAAGAATTTGGTGTTCTGGTCTACATTTATTACAGCATGGCAACTCCATTCATATTGTTTAACATAAGAAAAAAAAAGTGTTGATTTACAAAAAAGAACAAAATGAGACTTGGGGGATGTTTTCTTTCTTCTTTTTTCTATTTTTTATTTTTTTTTTATTAAATTGAGGATGCACACTGTGGTTAAATGGAGCAGACTTTAGCTCCAGGAGAGGATTAAAGTTATTTTACATAACAGTGATACCGTTTGTGGAGAATCTGCTTTGCAAGCAGGGAGTGGTCCAGGAGATGCCTGCCCTGCTCATGGAGAGCATCACAGCCAGCCAGGATGGTGACAACCACTTGGTCTGCCAGCGTTGGGTCCCCCCAACCTATGCTCACAGAGGAGGTTTCTGCCCTCTGCTGCTCTCCACTAATTATCACCGTACTGGGGGGCACTGCTGCTTTGGATCTGTTGCTACAGCATCACTCTCTAATGGGCTGAGATGAGCCAGGATGGGAAAACCAAGTTTGATGTGAGCAGAGCTACCTCAGGCTGCTCACGGGGTGGTGGGAAGGAAGAGCCCCAGGGTCAGCTTGTCACTTCTGCTGGCAAGGGACCCATGTCCATAGACTGTGCTTGGTAAATGTGGGAAAACCCCCATTATTTTATGGCAGGCTTTATTTCTCTGTCTTAATATGGCTTCATAAGAGAGCTTGGCATTAATTCATTTAGGAAGTGAAGTAAGGAGAGGGGGGAGCACTTTGTGTATTTGAGAACGTCTGTCAAGGAAGAAGTCACCCCCCAACTATGTCAGTGCCTGGTGGATGTGGCACCTTAAGAAGACAATGAATTAGTGACTCTGAATGCAGTAAGTAAGTTGGCTGGAGCCAGTGCTGGGCTTGTGTTTCATTAAAATGTGATTGAGAACTAATTACAGAATTTGGTCTCGTTGGTAACAGTGGACATTTCTATAATGCCTTTTATGATAATTATCTTCTGATATGCAAATGCAACACAGGAATCCAGAAGCCTGGTGTGCCAGTAAATTAATCATGCAGTATTTTTTTCCTTTTTCTGTCTCTCTTTTTTTTTTTCTTTTTGAATATTTATTTTCTGGCAAACACCCTCCCTGAAGGAGATCGCATGTAGCAATACAAAGGAGAATCTATATTGAGCCAGGCACCTTTCAATGAGTCATAAGGAGAAAAAAAAAACCCACCCCCTAATTAAAATATGAACAGTTCTGAAAGGGGACAAGATTATTCCTAATGAGATAATGTAACAAAAGCACAGGAACTCAGCGTATGTGCATCTAATAGAGTATATGGTATCCAAGCCACTCAGAAGCAGGGACAAGGTTGTTAAAGCACTGCAGGCTGTGTGGATAAATCTTCACAGCCCTGTGGAATTTATCATTGCCTGCACGGGGGGAATGAAACACACGCCTGACTTGGGCAGCAGCAATAGAAAAATCATATTTAGCCCCTCTCAAGCGAAGTCCTGCATGATGCAGTACAGCAGGTTTTTTAATCTTTTTTTTTTTTTTTCAGGATTGAATCATTGTATTTCCAGACACACACTGTCTAAATATCAGTCTTTCAGGAAATTGAAGGTTCTTTCTGCAGCCTGCTCTTTACCCGCTGATCTAACCCCTCCTTTTCACCTGAGGCTGTCTCCATCTGAAATGGAATTATGCCATCTGCTGGGACACCAAAGCAGAATAAAAAATGACTTCCAAAACCCAGAAAGCAACACAGAATAATAAAAAAAATAAAAAATGGACCATTCATGTACTCTTTTACAAAGGTACCCAGGACTGTTAGAGGTTTATGTTATAGTACCCACTGCTGGAATTGAATGCACATAAAAAAAGGGCAAATAACATCTTTAGTAAAGATGTTAGCTCACTGCATAATTGTTTTAAAATACATTTATTTTATTTTTCCACTTTAAATATGCGATTGAATTCAGTATTCACCTGCCATATAAACCTAGTTGAATCTTTTTCAAGCATGTGAATTCAATATAGTTTTTTCCTGAAGAAACTGTTTCCTGTTTAGTTTCCCCAGCTGTAATGAATCCATGTGATTTAATTATTTTATTTGACTCATTGGTTATGATTATTTCCAAAGAATAATGAGGCTACTTTTGTAACTGAGTTTTAGAAAACATCTGTGTAACGTATTTTTTGCTATGCAAGCAGTAACTTCCCTTTTTGCAGCTTTCCAGTGGCCATGTGTGATTGGCAGCTCTCAAATCGCCCCCATGGTTTGTTAAACACCTGCTCCTGATGTTCAGTGGGTGGGGTGGATATGGGTGGTTCTGTGGCAGGGAAACAATGAAGTAATCATTGCATGGAGTCATCTTGCATCTTCCCACTTGTTTCCTCCATTTCACAGTTTAACACTGCAGGAACAACAGGTTTTAATTAATCTGATAGTTCTTTTTATATCAAATCCAACACTTCTGGTGCTGGTACTATACACAGGTGTCAATTTTCTTGGTTTATGGGCAGATTTACAGGCATTTAACCATATTCCATGCACATCCGCTGCCAAGGGGGCACCTTGCTGTGAGAGGTGCAGAGTTGTAGGCTGAAGAGCATGGGAGCTTTGGGTGAAGTTAGGGGGATGTACAACCTGTCTCCTCGCTAAGACACAGTGAAAAACACGGCAGGTGCTCTAAAGGTAAGGTGTGTGATTGCATTCTGCTGCCTTAGCAAGAGGCCTCACCTGTAAACTTAGCAAAAGTTTATTTTTAAGGAGCTAACTTGTCTACACAGTAAATGTGTCCACAGGAGGGATGTTGGAGTGCTGTGGTAATTTTTCTCTGTATATAAGGAAACCTGTGGGAGAGGCTGCTTCCCAAAATCAGCAGGTAGTTAGTACAGCTGGCTGCAGAGCCATATATCTACGTGTAGCCCCTGATGAAGAATTGCATCATGAAAATGGTAATGGGCTACATCCAAGGTAGGTGAGCAATAGGATGGTTTAGTGACAGGTTTAATGGACCTTGGATGTGTCTTAGTTCTACAATTAGTGGGATTGTACCTGAAATATGATGCTAATTTCTGGATGTTCTCAAGAGAAAAATGGGAAAATATTTTGACGAGTAAAAATAGTCTTGAAAACCTATTGAGTGTTTTAACCAAGTCTGAGGCATTTCCTTGCCAAAAGAAGCGCAAAGACCTGACCGTAGCCCCTGGGCTCCTCTGCCATGATAGAGAGCTACTGAAGTTAGTAGATAAAATGTTCACAAACTAGTGCTTTGAAATTAACTGTTTAACAAAGCTAAAAATTCATTTTCCCTGCTGCCTCTCTAAACATTATGGCCACTGTCCCTCGGGCTCCTTATGTGAGTTTTAGGGGTACAGACTCTGTAATGTTTCACATCCCTTTGTGGGTAACTGTGGACTGAGTACAATCTAGGAAGAAAAAGGAAAGCATCACTTTCTGGTCAGAAAGCAGCTATTGGACTTATTTAACAGCTGCTTTAATTAGTCAATTAATTACAGACTCTATGTGTTAAGATTCACAGATCCGAAGGGAAGGTTAACCTCTGCAAACTATCTTTTATTCAAATTTCACTTGAGGCAGCTGTTAATCAGAAAAGACATGCTGAAAGACTTGAAAACATTGATAGCCATTCAGACATTTAGTTTTTAATTTTAAAACCAGAGTAATGAGGCTTTCAATTTTGAAAGTAACACAGGTGGCCAGCTGAATGTCATGTGAAATATAAATCCTTTAAAATATGAATCTATAATGGAAAACCTGTCAGGCTTTTAATTACCCTGCTGCAAGAGCTGGCCGGCGCTATCACACAGCTTCACTGTCACGGGGAGCAGAAGTCACAGGGATGCTTTTGCCAATTGTTGCTGCTGAGATCCTTCCTAAACAAGGGCAAATCAGGGCTGTTCACCTCAGAGAATTTGCAGTGCTGCATTTACAGCAATAAAGCTCTAAACAAGGGCAAATCGGGGCTTGTTCACCTTAGAGACTTTGCAGTGCTGCATTTACAGCAATAAAGCTACAAATCTGTAATGCCTCATCTTGGCAAACCCTGGCTTCGTGGTATCAGTCACTCCTGTGACTGATGTGTGACTCCTGTGTCCTGTGTGAAAGCAGAGCAAGATTAGAGGCGTAATGCCTCGCCTTGGCAAGCCCTGGCTTCATGGTATCAGTCACTCCTGTTGCCCGTCCTGTGTGAAAGCAGAGCAAGATTAGAGGGCAGGTGTGAAAGGGGCCGACAGACTGCTAAGAGCTGCTCTGCTGGGGACACGGAGAGCCCTAAATGTCGAAGCCGGTACACTCTGTGCCCATCATCTCTAACAGATTTCAGTGGAAGAGTCAGCACAAGCAAGGCTCGCTGATCTGAGCCTCCTATCATCTTCTGTGACTAAGTAACCACAACTAATTACCTTGTAGATACTTTTTTTTTTTTTAAATCTCTTTGAAAGTGTAGCACTGTAACAGTAATGTTCACTGCAAAAGTGGCACTCATATCCACCGAAATATTAATATTTTGCTTTTAAACTGAAATGAAAATCATCAAACATAGAGTCAAAAGTGCTGCTGCTTTTTACAAAGCCAGACCAAAAAGACTTTCTACCGTCAAACTAACCTTAGCAGCGTGTCATACAAAATTCTTTGCAACATTTTTGTCGCCCTTAGTTGGCTTTTGGGCTACACACTTGTAGCCTCAACAGTCCCCAGCCAGGCTCTGTGAATGGTTGGACACTAACATGTACATTAGTGACCCATATGTGTTCCTTGTGCTTGCCAGAAGCTTCTCCTGTACCTCCCAGTAACAGGGAGAGCGGTGCTGGTGGGGAGTTGGGGCTGAGAGCACCTTCACCTAAATGTGGGCAGCTCAAAGTAATGGCATATCCAAGCCATCCAGCATCCCACCAGCCCTGTGTCAGTATCCCACGACACCTCAGCCCTGTGTCAGCATCCCATGACACCTCAGCTGTGTACCAGCATCCCACCACACCTCAGACCTGTGCCAGCATCCCACCACATCTCAGCTGTGTGCTGGAAGCAAACCCCAAAAAGAAAAGTAACAGTCTGGTACTGCAAGGAGTAGAAAACTGGGTCATTGTGAGAGCATGAACCTGGTCTAGATGTGGCCAATAATAGTGGGTAAGGGCTGTGCAGTTCCCTCTGTCTGTGCCTCAGTTTCCTCACATTTTGTTGGTTTCTTGTGATCCACTGATTAAAAGTATCTGTGAGTGTTTGCTAATATTTAGTATTCAGTGAATTTAGTTACATAAGTGAAGTGTAAGCATTCAAATGTAGCCCTCTAATTAGAAGAAACGGGAGAAAAAGTTTTACATCATCTTTGACACTTTAATTTTGTCTGCAATAATCTCTCAGCATTTACTTTCAGGAGGAAAAAAAAAAGAAAACCACTTCAGCACTGCCTTGGTTCAGATCACAGAACCCCTCAGAGGCCTAATGTACTCAGACTAAATTATTATTATTCATTGTTGTGTCTGACTTTAATGTTGTTACAGTATTTTCATTACCCTTTTTCTCCTTGTGTTATACATTAGGCATATTATGTCTTAATTCAATGCTTAACTGCCAGAATATTTGAAATACAATTTCCTCCTCTCATTTTGCTACATTCTCTGATGTGTTGTATATTTATATAATTGTAATTTTTGACACCGCAACTAGACATATTTTTTATTCCGTTGAGAAGCATACCCTGTAAAATAAAGGGAACACAGTCAGAATTTCCAAGCTGTGTCACCTTTTACTAAAAGGCAATGTGATATGATACCTGGTAACAAACTTGAGGCACGGTTATCAGAACTGCGATTAGATTCTTCTCTCCTTCTAGCTTTCCTAAGGTTGACCTAATTACAAACTACTTAATGTGAGTCAAATTTGTCCTCAGCCTGTTTAAATTTTCAAGACCAAATCTTCTAATCATCTCTGTTTTTTCATGCTAAACTGGCTGACCTTTTTCTTCTTCTTCTTACTAATAGGGTGCTGAGAAAATTTTACTAATGAATGAATCTGGGGATCTGCAGGATCTCTTAACCAAAATTGAGGTAATTGTATTTCTGCAAATAAATCTAAGGAATGTACATTGAATATTTGTAATTGGGTAGATTTTCTTGTTTTACTAGTTCCTTTTCTTTTGTTGTAAACTGATGATCTCAAATGCCTTTTTTTGTTTTTCTCTTTGAATGAACGATATCAGAGTATCACAGCATGTTAACTTGAAGAAAATGTGAATGGTGATTACATCAAACCAAAATGTCCGTCTCTATTTTCTCTTGATTTTGCCACAGCAGGAAAGCTTCCCAGGTTTCTTCCCTGCATTTAGTCAAATTACAGCATATGCTTTCCTAACTTACTCTCAGTAACTCTTTGTATATCATACATCATTGAGTTTATCACAAAATGAGCATCACTTCTGTGAAGGATGTTGGTTTCTTACAGCCAGTCTCCTTCTTGAACCCCTCCAAAAGTTCCAGTCAGGCTGAGCCCAAGGGTTTTTCATCTCTGTCTTATTCAGGAGGTAGATTTTTATTATCCAGTAAATCATGAACTGGCTCATCCCTTTACAAGTGCAGGTGGTACCTTCTGCATTTGTCTGGCCTGTTCTTTAGCTCAGCAAAACTCTCCTTGTTTCACGACCCCGTGTATGTATTTCTGTATAAAATGTAGAAGAACCTGTTGGCCGTATTGATCCATATTGAATATCTAGGCAAAAACTAGTAAACAGAAGTATAAACATAATTAAAGCATGCAGCATTCTTGTGTGACCAGGAAGTTTAGCTCCTCCTTAATATTTCTTAATATTAAGAAATTAATATTTCTTATTATGTCTCCTTAATATTTCTCCTTACTTTGGAATGAAATATGGCCAGATCCTGTTTTGGGGAATCCTATAACTTAATTACCTAGCCCAATGAGTGCCCTAATCTTGGGACAGAAAGTACGTCTACAAGACAAACAATGCTAGACTACAGCAAACTGAATAACTGCTTACTGAATACAACCACTGCTTCGCTGCCTTTTGGGCTTTTTTATTTTCCAAAAATGGATTTGCTACAATTGCAATGGGCAGTCTGAAGATGCAGAAATTAGTTACACAAACTGTCATCTGCTCAGGAAGGAAGTGGACTTTGTTCAAGGAACTGAGCTAAAGCAATATTGCATTTGTTATTTTTTTAGTTCTCTTAACTACAAGGAAAAGTAGTTACTTACAAGCCTAACAAACAATAATGAATGTAAAGATTAAAATTATTATTCTCTTAAAATTTTGAGATTATTTGCAATAATGTCCAATGAAGTAAAACACCATCATAAATTATGAAAGATGTGAGATAAAAAGAATTCAAGTTTTACATTAAATACTTCCAAACATTGTCTCTTGAGAAGTTAATAGAAATAGGAGTTATTTGCCTACTGAAGAATAACAAGTTTATGAGCTTGAGTTTGTGAGACAAAAAGTGCCTTTTATGCATGTTCATCTGAGTTGTGAATAGATGAATGCAGTTACTAATGTGTTTTTTTCAGAAGTCTCTTTTGTTTTCTTGATGAAGCTACAAGGACGACTACATTATCTGTACATATTTTAGTATTATCTGGGAATAATTTGTGACTAATTTTTTTAGTGGTGCATTATTCATCAGTCTAACATTAGCAGGAATTGCATGGATATTTGTTCTTCCTTTGTAAAGAAATCTGTAAAGTCTTTATCCAACAGTGCTATGTTAAAGCCACATGTCTGTGCTGTGGTAAGTACCCAATATGGTGCACCTTTCATTTCTCTTATATATAAATATTATATAACTTTAAGGCAATCATTAAACAAACTAGCATCGTTCTCAGCAAGTGAAACTGTCATTGAAGTCTCTTTTTGTGGTCTCCATTGTCTTTAATGCAATACAAAATACAGTAATATTATTGTTTTACTCGGGAATTGGGAGAATTGAGGGAGCTCAAGCCTTGCTTGCAGCAATTTTCTCCAGGTATAACTGTTGAATATTGATGATCTTCCTTTACATTTAAAGCTTCAGCATTCTACACTCATAAATTTGAATACACCACTTATTTCCTCAAGCACTACTTGTCAGAAGCTATGAATTGCTTTTTGATATGATCAACTCTAACTGTAACAGGAACAGCCTGTTCAGCATGGACCTGCAAATGCTAAAAGTCATAATATCTTAATGTACAACATCGAAAAAATACCGTCAACATAAACTGCCTGGAGTTTAGATTCAATCAATTGCAATAACTCCTAGAATTGATCTAGACCTAAACGACATCAGAGTAGTGCATGCAAGCTATCCTTTAGCTAGATATTTCGGTATGTATAAACACAGGTTACTAACATATAACATGACTGATGAGACTGCAGTGAGCATCTCTGACCACTGCATGTGGCTCTGACCAAAGGAAAAGGCAGATACACTTCTATGGGGGTATATCTTGGGGTGGGGAGGTGGGTATTGCTTAACATGTGAACCAGAATGTGTATTCTCAGCCATCCTGGAGCCCCTCATTGTCCTAGAGCTTATGGTGGTTGATAACAGTTTTTGTCTTTCTCACTTTCTTCTTTGAGCAGAGAGTCCAGCATCCTCACGAGTGCCCCTCTTGCGGGGGCTTTGGTTTCCTACCGTGCTCAGCGTGCCATGGGAGCAAGATGTCCGTGTTTCGGAACTGCTTTACGGACTCATTCAAAGCCCTCAAGTGCACCGCCTGCAATGAGAACGGGCTACAGCGCTGCCTGAGCTGTGCAGGCTAAGAATGGCATCTCCACATGTACAAACTGATTTTATGGTACTGCACCAGTTTGTAATATGATTTTTTTTTTTAAATAACCTGGTTATTCAATTCAGTCAATAAAAATCCATTTGTAGTATACTTGCTGGTTTGATCGTTGGAGCCACTTAAACTTAGGTCACTGACCGTAACGTGAACTCTGAAATATATTTTTCTACATTCTTTATAGAGAGATTTGTAGGCTGCAAAACTTACTGTACTATCAGCCCTTTGGATGCGAAATCTTCCCTTTTTCTGTGTGAGATCGTCAGCAACAGTATGTATTGCTGCTCCCAGGGTCTCAAGTCATGCCCTCAAGATTACAACAGAATGGAATTTAACCTTCAGATTCTTGAGTATCTGCAGTTTGCTAGAGTAATGAAAGAAAGATTTTGTGATTGGACTGGCTCAAGTGCATTCCATTTAGCACTGCCCTGAAAGTCACTGTGGCCAAATTCTGGCCTGAATTCTAAGTGGCAACAGAGGAACAGAAACATTTCTTAGAAGTCCCATGAATCAGCCTTATTCTTTTAGTACTGTTTTCTGTTCAGTACTAAATTAATGTTATTAGACAAAGTTACAAACATTTAACATAGTAGCTGTTGATAACCAGTGTTGTACTATCTCAGAGCTTTATGATCCTCCATATCACAGTAGATCCTATTCCGATCAAGCGAGAACACCAAATATTGTCATCAACTGCATAGGAAGTCATTGAGGATAAGATTTCTGCTTTTTTTCAGCTTAGTTGCTGTTGTGGTTTGATGGCTAGCCTGGTGTGAGTGTTTTGGGGCATCTGTTCTCTTTAGGAGGGCCACTGATCTATGCCCAGACAACTCCAGCACTCTATATACCCTTGTGATTTTTGGTGAGTTTTCGCAGAAAGCACAAGAGGATTAGTCAGTGGTGAGTCTGAATGGACTGTAGGCTCTCCATATTGAATATATTCCAGTTTAGAAGTGCATTAGCACTCATGCACTCCCAACAGAGTACTTGTTCTGTACTGGCACAAGCAATACAGAGGTTTAGCAGCTTCTTGAAATTGCTATTGGCTGGAAAAGGCTTCCATGGTAGGCATTTCATCCTGCCCAAACTTCTTTAGCAAATACCAAGCCATGTCACTGGCTCTTTGCTTCACTCCTTGTAAATCTGTGCTGGCTGGGGTTTGGGTAAGTGCCGTTGGCTTTACTAGAGGCTGCTTACTCTGGTGGAGGACCCAATATCCCTTCCCTCTTCCCCATACAATCTTGCTTAGTTTGTCTGCAATGGGAAACTCAGCTTTCCTTTCAGTGTTTTGGGACCAGTTCAGGGATATGATGCTTTCTGGTATAAGAGATGTATCAGGCAGCTAGTAACACAACTTTTAAGACAGTCTGAGAACAGACAAGAGAGACAGCTCTGTTCTGAATCTTTACTTCCAAGGAGTTAGCAGTGATCTCCTCTGGTATGACAAATAAGACTCATCCAGCTGCATCATTGTACAGGAAATTTTCTATTTTGAAATGCATCAAGCTCCGCTACTCTTGTTTCTGGTCCTTACCACTGAGGTTAAGGATCCAAGGGGATGTTCTCTGGCTGACAGCTCAGCACATTGACCTAAAACCTCTTCTGTTCCAGTTATTAATTATGGTCTGATGAATTTTAAGAAAGGGATGAACATCCTTAAGCTTTTGGCATTCCTTTGCAAGTAAAAAGCCATGTCATGCTAAAGAAACTAATCATATATTAAATTTCAACAGATGAACACACATTGAACTTTCATTTACTTTCATTTTACATAGTCTCAGGATGGAATCTGGCACATGACTAGTCTTTTACTCCATAGAGGATTTTTCTATTCATAAGAGTAAAGTACAAGTAAATTTGTTACTCTAAATAGGGAGGATCCCTTTAAGCAGGGTGTAGGTCCTCCTTACTTTGATTTCTTTAATAATTGGAGTGTTCTTTAAAACATTGGAGCATTTCAGAGTAACACATTTCTCACTTGGACTAAGAGCCTAGGGATTATGAATTTTATTTAATCTTACACTACTTATTTAACATTTTTGGTTTTGCTCTGTTGGAGAGTAGCTTACTCTTTTAACACCAATAAGCCTTCATTTGCTGTGGGAAAAATCTAGTCATTTTTAATAGAAAATACTGTGTCTGAGAGTTGATTTCCATTAAATCTCTGGTTATTTCCTTGGTGTACTATTTCTAAAGATACATAAAACCAGATAGATGGTCTTACCTGTCAGCAGCCTACTGTAATAAAATATTTTGTATTAATTTGCAATGAGAAGAGTTTCTGTAGGCAGTGATGCATAAACAAGCCTTGCCTTTATATCTAATAAACCGTGCCAGCCATAGAGCTTATTGACCTCTGTACCTACTTATAAAGTTTGCTGATCCCAAACACTGACCTCTCAAATCAATGAGAATCATTCTAGTGATTTAAAATCTTGGTTGATCTGGTCTAGCCTATCTTCCCTTTACAAGTCAAATACAGAGTTATGTAACTAATGCTATATAGCATATAGTATAAATGCCTCTTTTAAAATAAGAATGTAGCATGTCTTGAAGCCCTCTGAGATGTTAACTCACCATGAGTTAATTTGCCACACCTGAGAACTCATAATTATGAATGAAAAGAACCTGATAGGTCTTGAAACAAGAGAAGTTAATTCAGCTGTAAGTAAACATGTATTGAAAGAAAAGTGACTACTTTTTACTTCAGTGATGTGAAAAGGTAAGAAATATTTTTAAGAGGTTTGGGTTTTTGTTAATGAAAATAATAAATTAATTTTACTGGGCTAAGTTTTAAAATTTTCATGAGTAAATACATTATGAAAGATACTTCAAGTACTTTTCCTAGCTATTGCATTTGTATTATTACATTAAAATTAATTTTATTCACTTAGCCTGAAATACATTATTTGACCACAAAAGCATTTGACAGGAAACATTTATGCCCTAAATAATTTAGTAAGGAGAAGAACTTAGATTGCTTATCTTACTTTAAATAATTTGGAGATGATAGTAAAAGGTATTGTAATCCCAGAATAATTTGAAAAGTAAAAATTATTAGAAATAAATCTTTATGTTTAATCCTATTTTTCTTTCTTCTTGCACTAATTTTCTTAGGGGTGATGAATCAGGAAATAATTACATTAGAAGGAAATGGCTGTGAAAAAAACCTTGCAGTTTAAGCTGCTTCTATTTTATCAGCTGTACTTTGAAAAACTGTTTTCAGATGAGTTAAAAGATTCATGAAATCCAATCAGTTTTCCACCAAGAAATGCCACGCTGCAATAAGACATGTACTGTTTGTCTCTCTTTGAAGCCTCACATTTTTTCCACTGATGGAAGGATCATCTTATTGAAAACAAAGGTTTATTTAAAACAAAAACCCCCTCAACAATCAGACATTAAGTTAAACCAAAATCACTATCTTTAAGTGACCTGAAATTTGAAAGTATATTAAAAAAATATGCTGCAGGCTAATGCCCTCTGGTAGCTGGCAGAGAGTTATATTTTGATCTGGAGAAAAAGCCCTGCTGTGACTACACAAATCAAGCAAGTGTTACATGACCAGTCAGAAGGGATGACTACAAGTTATTTTCATTATTGATCATTATCTGTTCAAAGTAGGTAAATAATGATCAACAGAAAATCATTAAATGTCATCATTTAAATGTGAACACCCAAAACATTACCCCTTAAAGTTGCTGTTTCATTTTATGTTATTAAATCTGGTGGATGCATTCTTATCTGTCACATTTGGGAGAAATTCCTTTCTGATTCAGCTCAGGTAAATTACAAATGAGTGAGGACGACAAACCTTCAAAGCATCATCTAAATCTGAGTACTCTCTGAGCTAACTCCAGGTACCACCTCTATATTATTTCTTTCTGGGGCTCTGCCCCTTGTTAAGGCCAATATCTGAGACTTTGAGACTTTGAAGACCATCAAGACTCTGTCTTACCCCCAAAGTTCATTTCCACATTAATTTTCTCAATCCTGTGACAAGTGGAAATAGAACACAGTAGGGCAGAAATACTGTACTCCAATAAAAAGTCTCCAGACCTGTGGGATAATATATTTAGGTTAAACCTTATGCATCAATAGAGCTGCACTGGCGATGAGTGCTTTATACTGCCTTAGGGGTCTAATCAGACAGGCAGGAGTAAGATCAATACCTCAGCCTGCAAAATTAAAGAAATCAGTAAAAACTTGTCTATTTTTTGGTTAAGTATAAGCACAAAAATAATAAACAGTCATCATCATTACTCATATATTTGATATATCGCAATCATTGCCTTTAGTATTATAGGAAAATTATGCTGCCTGTCATTACAGCTTGATGGTAATAGCTGATGCTGATAAGTTTTCCCTTTCATCATAATCACTGAAAAAAAAAGTACTAGAATGCTATCAAACAACAGAACTGTACTTTTAATCATAAGTAGAATATTATTTTTATTATTGTAGTTATTCCCTCCATCAGTTAAGAACTCAGGAGAACTGAGGCAAGATTAACAGACAAACATATCAGAAAGTTTAGTCTTCAATCCTCTTCCTCAGTGTTTCCCCTGAAACCCATTAACACACTTCCTGTGGGATCCAGAGTTTCACAAGAGGGCTCCTTGCTATTTGATGTCATATTCTTGCAATACCTCCGGCAGTGCACACAGTGCTCCGAGGTGACTGGTGATGCTCTGCCTTTTTCCATGTCCCACGTTCTTTTAATAGCTTGGGACATAATAATCCTAAATTTGTCAGTCTTTTCTCATATTCTCAACCAAAAGTTCATGTCCCATATCAAAGAAAAGTCAACAATAAAATCCTCTCCTCTTTTTATAGCCACTATATGTGATCTTTCAGGACATATTTCATGAGCAATATGGTTTGAAAAACCCTATAATATTTTTCTGCATTTATTCTCCACTCCTTTATCAGGTCTATGATGGCAATAAGTCTTTCCTATTGCAGCCTATACTTCTTGCAGAACATCTAATGCTCAATAATGCCAAATATGTCATGCCGCACTTTACACTTACTTTCAGCCAACTTGGTATATCTACTTATTGTAGGATTTATAGCCTCAGGGCCTAGCCACAAAT